CCCCTTTTAAGGAGTTTAGACTAGGTACATGGACCCTTAGGGATCGCAGAATGCGAATATATCACTTCGAGTTGGGAGCTTCGGGTGATGCTACTCCAGAAACTGTTTGTTAATTGAGGTTTAGGGTTTAGGGTTTAGGGTTTAGCGGATGCGGTGAAGATGATGGAGAGAATTCGATTTGTACACAGCTTAGTAGGAGGTTCTGTAATATGCTTGCCATCTCGTGATAAGTTTGAGAAGATTCGCATTGAGCTCACGCTTTCCTTGGATTGACGGTTGCGTGTTTAGTGTATAGGAGGTTACCTGAATCCCAAACCCTAAAACCTTAGTTTCTGACCTAGCTACTTTGGCTCTGGAACTAACCCCTAAACCCTAAGCCCAAAGCCCTAAACCCTAAACTCCTCGCAGGATCCCATAAAGCACCTAGTTTCACGCGAGGTGTTGCAGTGGAGTGCCGGGGGACTGTCAGGCCCATTGAATTTCGGTTAGTTTAGGGCTAAGGGTTGGGGTTTGGACCCTGAATGTCCTTCCTTTTTAAGGATATACCCTGCAAAATACTGGATGAAACCTTCAAAAGGAAGTGCATCCAGTGTCCAGGTAACCCCTAAGCCCGCCAACATGTAATTCTCTTTCGGAACCGCAATTCGCCCGCTGCAACTGACCCACAGCAGGTAGCTTATAGACAGTGAGTCTAAAGTATGTGGGTGTTAGGGAAACACTGGGAGTTTCAGGGCAAGTGCCCCTTTCAAACAAATTACTCTTTGTTGGCTAGCACGATGCATGTCACCCTAAACCAAAAAGTCTCTACTGCTCAGGGAACCGCAGTAGATGCTGCTTCGAGGTTTCGAACTTAGTTGTGGTTGAGGGCTCAGGTTTGCTTCCCCACGTTTTACAGCCAAATCTGCGCAGAGGTTCACGGGTGTAGTTTTAGCCGCGGGCGTTCATTGAGATGGCTTTCGTTGTGACTCATTTTAGGTGACCCTACTTGTAACTATCCATGGACTTCCAAGAGCCCCCAATGTCCAGCTACCAGCGCTGCGTGGATATGATCACTTTCCTTTACCATTTAGGGTTTAGAGCCTTGCCCGTCTGTCAATATTTCCTATACTAGCCTCAATATACTGGAAGCCTAACCCTCAACCCTAAACCGCGTGGATGGGTTTGAAACTAGGGGCAGGGCCTACAGGGCTGAAATTAAAGACTGGGCAGAAAAGCTGATGAAGTACCAGACCCCAGGGATTAGAGTTTAGGGTTTAGGGATAACATTGCTGCGAAGGCGTCGCGTCTCACAGCTTTAATTCCATAATGTAGACAGCTGCCATGAGGAGGCGTGATATCCTTTGCTTGTCTTTGTACTCCCATGTGTGTAGGGTTTATCGGGGGGATTAGTAAGGAATGGAAAAGAAAATGGAAATTACCATGCTATTTAGGGTTTATAGGTTGTAGGGTTTAGGATTTAGGGCTTATAACCCCACCTATAGCTACCCATGATTACCCATGAACTTCCAAGTAATCATCACTTGCAAAAGCACTTCTCCACCAAGATCGTGCAAAATACGTGGAGGCGCCTCCTGCGTGGGGCTTCGCGATTTTGAGAGAGATGCAGCAATTGTTTCCGCGGTGTTGGCTAGCATATGGGGAAATGCTACATATAGAGGCTGGGATGATATATGGGCTGCTATCGGGATCCATTCCTTCATAGCCTACTAAGCAACAGTTAGCTGTTCCTTGAGGTTCCCAGAAGCAGGCGCAGCAGGACTCAAGTTCCTAGCTTGACGCTCTAAATGGCAATTTCGGGCTCCGGGCTTGGGGTCTAACGTTTAGTTGTTGGCATTACAGCCCGCGCATGTCATCCGGAGAACCCCGGGAGCGCCGCATTTTGTTGTTAAGGAGAAGAAGGTATGCTGAATTCGGTTGCCTGTAATGGAACTGACATTAAGTTACCAAGAAAAGGCGTATATAGTAAAGAATAGGCTTTCCTTGTTCATAGTAGTCTAGCTTAATCATGCTTAATCTAAGTTCCTTAACAGCAACCCAGTGAAACGAGTGTAGCTTCCATAACTTGCAGAACTCAAGTTGGTGCAAGAAGTCCTCCACCAACCGAACTACCAAGCTCGACAACACTTTCCTTCGACTGTTTCTGAATCTTGTAGCCGAAGGGACTTGAATTCAGCGAAGACCGTGCAAAGAAAAAAACGATTCTGATGAATTACCTAACTTTGTAAATCCAGGTCCCTACAAAACCCATATAACCTCACTTTGCGCTCCATCTCCATGTCATTTTCCAAGTTGTTGTCCAGCTGTATGTTCCTTCACAGCAAGCCTAGACCCCAAACGATAAACTTTGATTGCTCCTTGCTGCCGGCTCTTTAGTTTGAGCCTAGTCCTTTGAGGATCCACGTTGCAATCGGCAGCAGGGATCCAACACAAAAGTCTGAGTAATACCGTAGGGTTTACGGTTTTAAGGTAAGGTACTCCACGCGAGCGTGACAGGTCCCATTGGCAGACAAATTTACCTAGCATCACTTGGTGCCAGGTACATCACCTACACCACCCATTAGGTTTCTACACATTCAGAAGAAACCCTACATCCTAAACCCTAAATCCGAAACCGTAAACCCTCAACCCATATTTGCACATGTTCAAACTGAGTGGAAGTTCGCTAGGTCTACGAGCCTGAGCAACCTCGACCCCACACTCCTATCCCAAACCCTAAGCCCGATGGTCCCCTTAAGTAGATAGAGTATGGGGTACATGGGGATCTTATTATAATATATCCAAAGCCATACTCTATCTACTTAAGGGGGACTATAAACCCTAAACACCGAGATCACAGAGCCCCAAATGCTAAATTCCCCAAAACTAAATCCTAAATCCCTACATCCCGCAACCCTTCCCAAATTTCTCAGCCCCAAATCCGAAAAACCTAGGACCCAAAGCCCTCAATCCTTAAACCAAACTCACTGAAAACCCAAATCCTCACTCCCCAAACCCTTTAGTCCGCCTCACGTCAATTTTTCTAATTTTCCAGAAGCAGCATAACAAGATCCCCATATACCCCATGCTCTATCGACTCAAGCGGGACTATACAATCCTAAACCATAAACCCTAAACCCCTAAACTCTAAGCCCTAAACCCTAAGCCGCTAAACCCTAAACCCTGAGCCCACATCTGCACCTTGCAGCAACGGGCAGGGTGAACACTGAAGAGGACTTCACATCTCCATGGGCTAACTCTACTGTGCTTTTGGCTGAATACCTAGGGTTTAGGGCTTCAGGGGTTTAGGGTCTAGGGTTAGTTCTTACGGTGTAGGGTTTAGGGTAGAACCCTACTTATACTGGAAGCTTCATGGGTATAAGTGGGCGTATAACCTTACTTACAATGTCCCCAACTGGACTTCTGCAAATTGCATCAACCATGAGTAGGGTTATAATAAGCCCAAATATCAGCAGTTACTGAGCCCCATGAGCCTCCAAGTACACTACCCCCTGTTTTGGCGTCACGAATTCTGTATGTAGAACATTTAAAGATACCTGGCAGAAAGGAAGCAGGTATCCTGGAAGAAAGGGGTAGGGCTTACGAGTCTAGGTATCATTCCGGGTTTGGGGTTCCCTAAACCCTAAACCCTAAACGTAAACTCCCCCCCAAGTCCCCTCCCAGGAGCCCAGATGCCCCCTACACACGTCCCTTTGAAGTGTACTTGGGGAGGGTGTGTCCTGGCAAGGTTTAGGTTCTCGGGTTGAATTTTGTTTGGGTTTGGGGTTTAGGGTGTAGGGTTTAGGGCTTATGGGTCAAGGGAAAATGTCAGGGTTGAGGGTATGGTTTGAGGGCCCATTGCACTGAAGTTAGAGAAGGATTAATGATTAAACGAGGATGAGAAGTATTGGGTCAATCAGAAGTGCGCGACCCAATCCGAATATAGCCCCTGCTTGAATGTTCAACATAGTAAGTACTCACAACTGGGCTCCTTACATTACCGCACTTAAAATTCGGGTAGCCTACAGAAGTCCAATTAAGGGGGGGGGGGGTTATGAGTAGGGTAATCAGCCCAGCTATAGGTAGTTAGTTAGTCCCATGAACCTTCAAGCATAATCCTTAAAACCTAAACCCTCAGCTGGTTGTAAGCCCGCTTATCTAAGTAGTCACGAAGTCCAAGGAAGCTTCAAGTGCAACTACCCATTCTTGGATTGCTGACCAACCACCAGCAAGACTGGGTATAGGGGTTTGCGGTTTATGGGTTTAAGGGTTCAGGGTTTGTCGTTTAGGGCTTAGAGCTTGGGGATTTGATGGGTTTGGGCTGTGTCTAAGGGTTTGGGGCGTAGGGGTGTAAGGATTAGGGCGCTGCATTCAGATTCTGGAGATAGCTCCGTGTTTGAATCCTTAAGCACGCAAGCCCCGGACTTCAAACCGTGAGCCTCGAAACTCCTAAAGCCTAAGGCCCAAGCTTTTCAAAAGGTCCTATATACCATAATATGCTATAACATATTAGAATATATTTTGAAAACAATAATATACTAGAATATACTATAATATACTATTATCTGCTATAAGATACCTACACAATGCCCAGATGAATAGTTTGTTTTCGGGATGCTATATCCAATACAAGGTAGCATGAGAAGTCTTCCTGTTGTGCATGATGTTTTACCAGAAGAGTACTATCCTACTCAGCGGTTATGGTATAGATCCTACTCAGGGGTTATGGTATAGGGTTTTATTCACAATTGGCTCTACCACCAAAGAAAATGCCACTCAGATGACTTTGTGGGTGGAGATGCTGAACTTCGGGGCCGTCGTGGCAGTCGCCTTCTTCTTGCAAGCCGCGCTAAAGACACTCGGCAGTTCACAACAGAGAGGGGAACCCTAAACCCAAATCCCTAAACCCTGAACCCTGAACCCTAAACCCTAAACCTACTCAAAGGCTCACCTGGAGGTCCAGTTGATGTTGCTCAGTATCAGTTTTTTTAGGAAAGTTCGTAAATTTTTGTACCATAACTCGAGTCAACTACGATCTCCTGGTAGGGCTTGGAGTTTGCGATCGGGGGCTTATAGCGGCGATAAAGAATGATTTTGGATGATTTTGAATGGGGGAGGTTCACGGATGAAGGGCTACTGGGCTCAGGTTTACAATTTCGGGGGGCTCATTCTTAGTGACGGGTTTCTGTCAAGGGGTCTTAAACCCTTAGCCCTGATCCCTGGACCTGAAACTTTAAGCCCTCAATCCAGAACCGACACCCTACACCCTAAGCCCTAACTCTAAACCCCTAAACCCTATACTCGAAACACTTAAAGCCTCTGAACCCTAAGCAAGCCCCAGGTTGTGAAAAGCTTTATCACGCCAGAACTGAGGAGACCTCCCTCTCTCATCCAGATTTACAGTCCTAAGTAGATGGAATATGGGGTATATGGGGATCTTATTGTAATGTACCAGAGCCGTAGTCTATCTGCTTAAGGGCGACTATAGGGCTTCGGGTTCAGGGATTAGGGTTTAGGGACTAGGGTTCAGGAACTAGGGCGTAGGGTTTAGGGATTAAGGTTCGGCATTTAGGGTTTAGGGTTCAGGGATTAGGGTTTAGGGCTTAGGGATTTACATCTACCTGGACTTCCCGAGTCCCTTCATAACGGCCTTTGAACACGAACTCATTGTCATCGTGGCTACTTGGAAGCTCGAGCTAAGACCTTGAAAAGCATTTACGGGGCCCAGGATTATGGGGTGTAGACGGTTTAGGGCTGAAAGGGTTTATAGTAGGGTCCAAAACAATAGCCTCTAATGCCCACATAGTGGGTATGAAGGCTGGTATTCTGGGTGTTTGGGAGGTCTAGGTATTCCACTCCGTGGTCCCAATAAATTGCCGCAACCCTAAACCCTAAATCCTAAAATCCCAAACTCTCTCCAAGGAGAAACATCAGCCAGAATATGAGCATGGGCAAGACCACAAATGAGCTTAAGGCTTCTACGGAGCTGCAGGGGGCTCAGACCTGGACATTGCTTGGGGCTTAGGGTTTAGCGCGTAGGGTTTAGGGTTTAGGGTTTAGGGCTTAGGGTTTAGGGCTTGGGTTTTAGGGTTGAGGCTTCGGGACTCCAGGATGTAGGTGTCGGGTTTACGACCTTCCCCCAACACCATGAGATCCCATCCTAGATAGCCTGCTATGAAAAGGACACTCGTTTTCGTGCGGCGTTGTTCTGCAGCCGTGGTACCCCTAAAGAGCTTTAAGGCCTCGTGTTTAGGCAGATGTTTCTATTTGCTTCGGCTTCTGCTGTCAGACACCCAACCCCTAAGCCAGAAGAAATCCTCAGTTATAAGTACGTAGGCAGTACCCTACAGTGCATCCCCAAACCCTAAACCCTAAACAGTAGGTTTCCTTTCTTGCCTGACCAGATTACCCCGGGTCGAAGTTTAGGAATATTACCTGCGTTGGGCTCACAAGTAGATACATACAACCTTAAACCCTAGAACCTAAACCCTAAAACCCTAAACCGTAAATGGTGCGAATAGTGCACTACCTAGGGCTATTTCTAGCCTGAGGATTTATAGGGTTCTGGTTTTAGGGGCTTATAGGTTAGATGACTACCAACCCGAGACTACAACTCTAAACCCCAAACCTTGGTCTCCTACGCCCCTTCGCCGCAAAACCCCAAGCCTATAGTCCCCCTTAAGTCGATAGAATATGGCTCTGGGTATACTATAATAACATCCCCAAAAACTCCAGATTCTATCTACTTAAGGGGGACTAAAGCCTCAAAACCGTAAACTCCTTTGAGTGAGTCTAAGACGAGGTTGAGCTGGCTTGCTGCCAGGATCCCTATTATAAATCCTGAGCCCTAGGGTTTAGGGTTCCTAAGCCTAGAGTTTAGGGGCTTATGGTTTAGGATGTGGGGGTTAAGGCGTTTAGGATGTAGGGGTTTAGGGTTCAAAGTGTAGCGGTGTAGGATTTATGATGTAGGGGTTTAGGGTCTGGGGTGTAGGGATTTAGGGTTTATCATGTAGAGGTTTAGGGTTCAGAGGGTAGGGGCATGTAGGGGTGTAGGGTTTAGGATGTAGGGGCTTAGGGCTTGATAGTTGCTAGTAGACTTGCTGGATTGGGGGAAGACGCGTCAGAATGACGTCTCCGGGTTCTCAAACTTATCTTCCTGGCATCCCTGGTATCCCTCAAGTGACAGCTGGCTTTCCCCCTGAGGACCTCTGAACATTTGGGGAAGAAAGGATCATGCAACGAAGAAGCAGATGGAAGATGTCACGGAACCTCTGGGTGTAGAGGAATATTCAGGGCTCAACAAGGCTTATCCTAAACCGAACGGCTTAATCCTAAACCGTTAACGCAAAACCCTTACCCCTTTACCCTAAACCCTCCACCCTAAAGCCTAAACCCTTAACCCCGAACCCTAAACCTGAAGCCCAAACCCTAAACCCGATACTTTGGGTACTGTCCCCCCTCAGTAACAGTTGGATAATGATCATAATATGGTTATATATAGCCCTTAATGGGACCCCTAATATAGATTGTTACTGGATGGGGGAAGTACCCAACCCTTACCCTAAACCTGAAGCCCTCACAGATGACAGGTTTAGGCTTATGGGGTAAGGGTTCAGGGTTCGGGGTTTAGGCTCAGGGTTTAGGGTTTAGGGTTCGGGGTTTAGGGTTTAAGGTCTAGGATTTGGGTGATTCTTTTATTGGGACCTAAACTATAGACTCTACCAGCAATCAGCAGGTTGGTGAACAGCGCAAGAAGGTGATGCCGTAGTTTGTGAGCTATATTCCTGCATAGCCCATGTTATGCCTGCAAAGGTATGTTTCCACTGTTTTCTGGTAGGCACCCTGGTCTTGAGAATCACCCATCAATTTTTCAGGTGTCAGTACTGTTGGGTTTTTGGGGGCTTTCGGGTCCTCTTCGCCTCCCGGATGCAAGCAAGACATGTGCTGAGGCTACGGTTGACTTGTGATGCTGTGGTAGAACTGGATGAGAACTTGTGACACGTCTGCACGAAGGGCGCTATGAGGGTAGAGGAGGGTACGTTGGCTGGCGCTGGGTTAAGTTCGAAAACACCATGAAATTGGCATTGTTGGTCCTGCTCTTTGATATGCGATTTCTTCTCAAGAGTATCGCTTTAGGAAATTTATGTGCGGACTTGGGCTAGAAGTCCGTTGATCTAGGAATCTAGGACGTAACCTAACCTCCAAGTAAGACATATGAGCCAGCAATTGACAAAACCTTAAACCATAAACCCTAAAGTCCAAGAGTCCTGGAGGATGATCCCAGAGCTTTACACCCTAAAGCTGAATCCCGCAGCTCAAGGGACCAAACCGTAAACTTAAACCTCGGGCTCCAAACCATAAACCTGAAGCCCCAAAGGGTTTGGGGTTTAGGGTTTGACAGCAACGTCTAAGCACCAGGTAGCTCTTTGTAAGAGACACGTGCTCTATCACGCAAGGTTTCATGGTGCAGGATTGAATTGTTCCCAGACCTCCGATTAGCCTCTATCCTAGCCTAGCTACCTATACAGAATACACCACTCGGGGACCTAGAACCCCTAAACCCAAACCCTAAATCCTAATCAAGGGTACTGGGAGGCTCTTAGGTTGAGGGTTTTGGGGTTCAGGATTTGACTGGGTAGGTCCCAGGGTTCACCGGTACACAACCTTTCTTCAGGATTTAGATCAGAAGCCCGGCAGTCTGGGTTTAGGGTTTAGGGTTTAGGGGTTTCTGAATGTTAAGCTACAATGAAGTTGCTTGGTTTAGGGTTTAGGGTTGGAATATATGTTTTCTTATAACAGCAACCTACTTTGATTGTCCTTCACAGCAAGCCAGTAACAGTGAACCGTAAACCCTTGAACCACTGAAGACACCAACTTTCCAAGGCCAAGGAGGGCGGCTGCTGAGGGTTTACAGGGCCTAAAGAGCGCAAGTCAAAGGATGTAAAGTGGGACCCAAGAGCTGTTCCTTGAATAGAAATCCGTATTTTATATATAGAATCCTCAGATCGGTGCTACTAAGGGTGGAACCCTAAAGGTCCAAGCCAGAAGCCCACATCAGGGTTTAGGGTTCAGGGTTGAGCCCTCGGGGTTGACGACGTTTCCCCAAGCAGTGCCCTAAGGAACAAAGGAATTGAACAATAGTGGTTACAAGAAGGGCTCCCTGGTAATAAGATGCTTTCTAAAAGGGATATGCGCGGTTATACGTTCTATAACTTGTGGTTCTGGGACATATATGCTGCCCAAGTTACGGCGACCTCACCCCAAATTCTGTCCCAAATTTCCTTGATCTCAAATTTGGAAATTATGATCAAACTGCCAGTACATGTGTAGTTACTTGGAGGTTCATGGGGCTTAGTATTTTTTTATGAATGGGCTTATAATCCTACCTATAATCCCGTTAATTGGACATAAGTAGGTTCGGACCTAGTAGGTACTAAGATACAGGTAGGTAAGTATAAACGCTATCGCCCGCCCGCCTCGGCTGGCAAAACGCGGAGCACACGAATATGTCATGGCATGTTGTTGAAACGTGGGGGTCGAGGGAGTAACGGAGGCAAGCTTCACTTCAGACATGTTTGTTGCATGCTTGGGGTTGGCTGGGCTTTGTCCATCAGCCTTAAGTGAGGAAGTGAGGAAGCTTCGAGAGCCTCAACTGTACAACCGGCCTGGGCTGCGTTCCAGGGCGGAAACTGCAAACTGCATTGGCCGCGGCTGCCCGAATCCGATTTTTTTGGGGAGGGGGGGGTTGGGGAAAGGGAGGTTTTGGACGAAAAATGTTCACGGGATGGAGGGGGTCACGACGAGCGAACGGTCGGCGAATTATGGATCCCTTCCCTGCCGTGTCCAGAAGCGTGCTTGAAGCAGTTGAGGCTTAAACTTAAACCCTAACTGATACGGGTCCAAGAACTTTTTACCAAACCAAAATCTAATTGGAGGTTTATGGGATTCAGCAACTATATACTACACCAGAGCCTGTAGTCCATCCAGTTAGGGGGGTTACAAGGAAGGTTCCCAAAGTAGTTACTACGTTCCATGAACCGTCAAGTATGCTTCCATGTTCGTACCATATTCCTACAAGAAGAGGCCCCTAAGCTATGGAAGTATACATATAGGTCTTCTTGGTGTTATTCCTAGGAGTTACGAACATACCTCAAATGGTTATATCCCAACTTCAAAGTATGGGCCTCCTCCATGTACCAACGTCCAACCCCAAATCCTAAACCGCCAAGACTTCGGCATGTCTGGGAAAATGAGCAACATCGCCTTCCGTTAACATTATACTGTTTCAAGGCGAGCTGGATTCTTGCTGGGCACTTTGTCTTCGCATCCGCTGATGGGTTATGCAACTTTTTACCTGGCTACATCGTCCAACATCACCGGCCTGTCATCCTCGAGGAGATCTAGCCCTAAACCATTGTGATAATACCAGTCTCCTCTGGCGCCAGGGGTGGCGATCGACGTGGAACCAGACGTGGAACCATACTCTCAAGCGAGCCCAGCAAGAAGCTGCGCCAGCCAAAGAAGAACTCAAGGCTGGCGCGGCTTTAGAAATTAAACGCCCCCAATCCCTAATCGAATATTATGTTCCCCAGCATATATATGTATATATAGGCGCGAACCTCTCAAAGTATATTTGGGCTAAAGGCCCAATATTTTGTATCATGAAACCGCAGCGCAAACTTCAAACCCTACTGGCTGTTAGTAGTGATCCTTTGATCATCTCGCATGCTTCAGTTACAACAGTTAAGAGCCCCAAAACCTCTAACGCTAAGCCTACTTGGGGGTTGGTCGGGAATATGTTTTTTGTTGGGTTTCTATTGAATTATATTCCGTTATTCCCTACTAACCCGCAGTAAGTAGGCACAGTAAGTTCCCTTTTGTTTTGAACTCCTTTCATGACCACCACGAAGAATCCAACTCAGGTGTTTCGTTGCTCATTCTCCGGCCCTGGCTGGGATGTTGCTCCGAACCCGTCCCGGCTCCTAGGCTTACGAGGTATAGAGCTTCGAACGCTTGAGGATACAAGGGTGCAGAGTAGTCTTAAAGGTCTGTTCTGGGTGCAGGGCTCAGCTTTTGGGATGCAGGCTGTAGGAGGTAGTGTTCCAGGTTTGGGAAGAAGGCGTTACCGCATGCAGTGAGAGATTCACGATTGGCAGTCACGTATGGTGAACGTTAAAAGCCCTAAGCCCCAAACACCCCTAAACGCTAAACCTTAAACCTGTAGAACTCGTAGCATGCATTTTTTTTGGAAAGCAAGCTTGTTTCAAGTTCCAAGTGCCTGGACCCCCCAGTTCCCAATCTAGGTATATAGTCCCAATCTAGGTAGCACGTACCCTGAACCTACAGGTAAACCTTATAAACCCTAAACCCTAAACCCCTGTCATTCTTGAGCAACCCTACCGTCGCATCCTTTACCATATGCTGACTGCTTGCCCCTAAGCCCTAAACCCTGAACCCCAAACCTTCAGCCCTACACCCTAAGCCGCGTAGGGGATGGAGGAGTCAATCTCCGCAATAGTCTGTAGCTTGGAGCCTTTCAGAATAGTTTCCGTAAGTTTCCAAGATCATTGGACTTTAGCCCCCAAACCATATGGCATCCATTACTTCTAATACCCTCTTATTATGAGCTGAAAGGAGACACCGGCAAAAAAGCTAGACCCTCGTCACATGTCAGGTAGGAGTGTCCTTCCAACTCAGCACGCCAAGCCTTTGTAGTTGATGACGTTCGTCTGTGAGGGCAGCCGTGGTTTGTATTGACCCAAAGGGTCCAAAGTACCTATATGGTACAAAGTAGGGTTTCTGTATCAGTAATTTCCCTTATGGTTTGGGCAAGTATACCCCATATGGGTACTTAGGACCCTTTGGGTGACTGCGCGATCTTAAGATATTTGTCTTCATAAGTAGCAAATCCAAGAGATGTTGCGCAGAGTTCCAGATCTCGGCAAAGACTACCTACTAAGGGGAGACAAGAATTCAGGGTTTGTGCAGCACGTAGGACATACTCCAGCAGATGAGACAACACGAGAAGTTTCATAGAAAGAGTCAAATGCCCGACGTCAAAGAGTTTTGGGGCAAGTCGCTCACCGGAAATAATTCGAGCCTAGAAATCATGTCCAAATCTCCAACCTCCCAGTCCATCAGAACCTCTCATTCCGTTGATGGACTAAATCCTGAATATCTCCCCACCCAAAACTAAAGCAAGGCGTCCTGATTGCACAGCTATACGTTGGCATCATGCATGTTTCTGCCATGCACCCTACACACCACTACGGTGAATACTAAAAATCCTTCAGAGCCCTTTGGTGCCGTTTTACCTGGAGAATTATGGGACTATGGTATAATGTCATGCAGGATTTTTAGTATCAACGGTATATCTGCTACTACCATTGTTATCATGATTAATTACTGTGCTGCTAGTAATCTAGACCCATCTAGAGCCTACACCTTACTATTTATTTTCCAGCATTTATACAGTTTACTAGTACTCTTCTGGGGATCCAAGTCTATCAGTAACACCTACATTGGACCCCTAAAGTCGATAGATATTACTTACATTGGGCTATTCGGGTCAGTCCCTAGACCTTAAACCCTAAGACCCAACCTCTATATGTTCTGTCCTACATTGGGCCATTTGGATCCGTAGGGCCCTAGTAATCTATCTAAACCTTAAATCCTCAACTTGAGGTTATACGCTCGAAGGCCAACGCGGCATGTTTCCCTGAACCCTAAACAACTCTCAACCCCAAATCCTAAACCCTACACCCTAAACCCTAGACCCCAAACCATAAATCCTAAACCTTAAACCCTAAACCCTACACCCTAAACCCTAGACCCCAAACCATAAATCCTAAACCCTAAACCCT